GATGTGCGAATAAAGCAGTGTTTCGATCCAACGATTTAAAGCGAAAAAATCGTCACTTCCTGATTAATTGTCGTTACATATCAACAGTTAAAACTGAATTTGCTACAGTAGGAGAAGCTGCGTCAATCTTTTCTTCATCTACTAAATGACTTGCGCCTCAGAAGGCAGTCCTTACACGCAGTGAAAACGCGGTGGCGTTTGAAGGTGTCAGACACGGAGCACAGACGCTCTTGATTCTGGAGGTTATTAATAATATAATAACACTAATACTGAAACGGTACGGCGTTTTAGAATGACCAAAACAACAGTTTAGATGTTTTACGGTGTGCTTCAGCCTTTTGGTTTCACATTACAGAATAACATGACCTTTTTTAATGCTCATACTAAAATTTGTGCAGTAAACGTGTTTCAATCGTAGTTTATGCACATTTTTTCTTATCGAATAAAAAGTGGATTCTACTCAGTTATGCGCATAAGTTTTTATGTGCATTTTCAAAATTTATGCGCATCATGGCGTTTCCATCAGCCGTTTCTTTATGTGCATATGCAAAATGTGCATAAAAATAGGTGGATGGAAGCATAACTACTGACTTCACAAAAAATTGTGATAGTCAAAAAGTATTTACTGTGTGGTAAAGCAGTTTTAAGTGCTGCTTTTCAGATTGTCAACATGTGGGGGGGATTGCAAAGGTGACATGGATTTTGTGCAGCATTTTAAGTTAATATTGAGTTAGTTATATTTTGACACAATATCATCTGTTGTTTAAAACAGAAATTTCCAAAACTGATTCTGGAACAGAACATTTGTGCTTCTTAGAAGCAACACTGTGGTGTTTAGTTCCTGAATGAATCTGTTTTTGAATAAATCAAGTGAGCCTTTGATACAATGATTCCTTCATAAAGACTGTTACCTGTATGTGGTTGGTTAGTAATTGACTATTTTGAATGAATTGTTTGAATGTATAGTTCAGTGTGTCTTTAGCTATGTTTCCATTCACCTATTTTTATGCGCATTTTGTATATGGAAACCCTTTTACCACACAAATTCCAGTATGCGCATTAAAAAAAGGTCATTTGATATTGTTATAAGAGATCATGTGATGATAAAAATGTGTGTAAATGGACAAACCAGCAGGCTGAGCAAACTGTAAACCATCTGAAATGTTGTTTTGGTCAATTTGAAACACCTTACAGGGCTCGAAATTGCGACCATTTTGGTCGCATATGCGCCCGAAATTTTATCTATGCGACCTTGAAATATATTTGGGAGCATTTCTGCGAGTGTTTAAAACTGTAATGTGCGACCAGTTTTTACTGCAAAATGTTCAGCACATGCGCGGATTCGGGAGACATTCACGCAGAATGCATCTCTAAGCTCTTTGTCTGCACTTGAATCGCGAAACGCAGCGCTCAGGAATGGTTTAAAACAGTTGTCATGTCAACTTGCTGCAGTAAACAAATCCAAGTCCGTAATGCTTGCCCCGCCTTCACGCTCTTCTTATTGGCCCACCACTCCTCTAGCACTGAACGCGAATGATTGGTTAATATCAGCTGTCAATCACTCAGCGCCTTCTGGCTACGGATGACAGAGAGAGCTACTACCGCGAAACATTGTAAAGCGCTGAAGATGAGAATGAAGATAACATAACACTTGACAGATTTTGTTTTAGAAACCATGGCATCTGCAATTACAAATAATGACACATCTTACTTGTTATACCGTTAACACGTTAATTCAAACAGTGCGTGCAGGGCCGGTGAGCGCTCCGTGTATGCTTTGGTCAGTCAGTTCTGTTATAAAAATCTATTTTCTTGTGATAACGGGATTTTGTTGAGACATATTTTCTTCACGCTTGCATATAACGTTATATATTAATTTTTTTTGCTTGTTAGATTGATTAGTGTTGATTTCAAATACAATCAATTTGTTTGTATAAAACTTGTAGTAACGGTGCTCATAATTGGTGGTGCGACTAAATTTTGGCTGATGCGCCTAAATTTTTAAAGTTAGGAGCACCGGTGCTACCAAGCAAAAAGGTTAATTTCGAGCCCTGCCTTACCGTTTCAGTATTAGTGTTATTATATTATTAATGACCTCCAGAATCAAGAGCGCCTGTGCTCTGCGTCTGTCAAACCGCGCATTCACTGCGTGTCAGGACTGCCCTCTGAGGCGCAAGTCACTTATTAGATGAAGAAAAGATTGACGCAGCTTCTCCTACTGCAGCAAATTCAGTTTTTACTGTTGATATTTTGCGCCAGTTAATCAGGAAGTGACGATTTTGTTCAATTTGACTCATTAGATGGAAATGCTCTTTTTTTGCACATCTTTAATGCGATAATCCAGTTTTGCGCATAAAGTTCATTCGCATTTTTGGATTGAAACACAGCTATAGTCATCTCCTGGGAGTGTTATTATCATGTTTATTAATATATTTACTACGTGCTTATCTGTGACTAAAACCAGCCATATAGATTTACTACTTTTTCTATGCAGGATATCTGTGTTGTAGACCACCTTCTAAATGGGTGCTGAGTTGCTTCTTTATGTATGTCAAATGATCCTTAACCCCACTGACATTGAGAGAGACACAGATTTTTAGCATAGTTTGAGCTGATTTGAAAAAGAAACTGAACCCAATTCTTAAAAGCTTTTAAAGCATCTTCCAAACCTCCTTTCCATATTGGCCATGCTCTTTTTGAAGAGCATGTAACCTAAAATATTCAATCTTGTTTTCATTTTCAAGACCCAATTTAGAGTTTGCGCTCTGAGCACAGATTCCCCTGGAGATTGCAGAGTTTGTCCTGTTACCCGATATGAATTTTCTTGTGCGGTCCCACATGTTTGACGCTTTGTTTAAATCATTTTTAGAAGTGTGTTGATTGATATGTCTCTGTGTAGAAGTGTTTTGGCGCTGCGGTCCAGCACGCTCAGATATGTGCAAATGCCCAGTAGCCACTTTCATACGGAGCGTTGAAAGTTGGAAGTCTGGGTGGAATGTTTTGGGTTTGATAGAGAGTCGGCTGCAATGACCTTTCTAGTGCAAAGTTAACCCAGGCTACTAACTCCACTCAGCTGAAGAACTGGAGTGTATCTTCACTTTCCCTTGGGGCTTGTCCAATTGACCTTCGCTAAGCCTCCTGAGTTACTGTTGCTACGCCTGTCAAGCTTTTGTGCCTGGCACGTCTATTACAATGTGCCATTTTTGGTGAACAGGTTAAGATTAAAATGTCTGGATGAACTGATCTGAGATCGCTGTGTGTGTTGTGAAGGACAGATCTATCGATCCTTGAAAACGTGATCAGCAATGCAACGATTGGCTGATGGCACAGCAGCATAAAGACATCATCTGATTAATATTCAATTATCCATGTGAGCAAAATTACATCAAATTTGTAGTAAATGGTTTGTTAAATATGACACGCAATAACTTTACATCTTTGTTCTCGGCTGCAGGCTTTACACTTTCATGCGTCAAGAATATTTAGCAGTTTATTTAATTTTACATTTAGAGCGGATTTTCTTTATTATAGTTCCCATAGTAGTTTTATTGTAGCCTGTTAATTGGTGTAAAAAAATAACTGGATGTTTAAATTGATTTTGCATCACAAAAGCATTTTGATATTGGTAAAGGTGTCTGCAACTTTTGTGAAGCATCAAATCACCGTCATATTAGCTGTCAAAACATGTTTATGACTGCATTAATGTATTATTCCTTGAAAAAAGTTTCATATTGTGTATTATCATACACAGCATTTGTATTATCATACACAAGTAGGCTACTAAAGCGATTGAACGCGTTTGTATCGAAAAAGTTGATATCAATAAATTTTCTCTTTGAACCGCCAGGTGGCAGTCTTTGTTTGTTTATTTTGAAGTGCAGATTGCACAAGTTTTATTAATGCATATTTTTAAATATATATATATATATATATATATATATATATATATATATATATATATATATATATATATATATATATATATATATATATAGAGAGAGAGAGAGAGAGAGAGAGAGAGAGTTAAAAATACATATACTATTTTCCCAAGTGTATATAACTACTACTGTAAGAAAATATCAGCATTTGGTACATACTTTTCAGTATTATCTTTGCTTGAACTGACCCCGAGCAGGTTGAGCTACCAGAACTGTTGCTATGATTACAACTCTCGGATGAGTTTTGAAGAACGAAACGATCCTGAATTGTCTCAAATCATCAATAACCAAATCATAATAAGTTAGAAAAAATACTGAGTAATCCACATCCGAAAAACAGACCCCAGGACTGTGAGTTGGGTGTGGTGCTTTTTGTTTTGACTCCTGTTCAAACGTATCAACTTAAAAGACTTGTGGGGGAAATAGGGGTGTTTAGGCTGGTGTCTATCAGTGCATGCCTCATCTGTTTGCCATCAAAGGTACCAAACCGCTGTAGTTTTGATTTGCAAAGAGAGGTCATAGGGTCAAGAAAAAAGTCAGAATTCACTTCTCTAGTCGACTGAGCATTCACTGGGGTCTTCATTTCTAGAACATGTGCTGTTATGTTGCAGATTTCTTGTTTTAACCACATTTGTTTTGAAGTTCCAGTTTTATGGATACTTAACCATCACAGATAAATATATACAGTGGCGTAGATTCATTCTTAAATCTTATTTATGCACTCATCTTTAGTGTCTATTTCAAATTTCTTTACTGTAATTAAAGGTGTTTTAAACAATACGAGTTTTTTCTTTAACAACAACTGGTAACATTAACCAGCATCAGGATGATTAAATGATGACAGGGTTTTCATTTTTGGGTAAACTGTCTCTTTGAGGACAGTTGAAGAGAAACATGTTCACACACATAAACAATTTTCATTCTTCACACAGCTAGGACTTTCTTCTACTGCATATAGCTGTGGTGTTTTTTTCTAGCCTCATGCCTCATACTGCTGCTCTGGACCATTAAAGCCTTTTAAGGCTAGACAGAGTTGGTCAGCCCTTTCAACGGGCCTGGCCTCCACCCATGATGATGTGATAAGAAAGGCAGTTCCATCCTCTTCTGAGCCTCCTCCAATCACACAGTGTTGTGTGCCTTCAAACAGTGGCCAATGACTGTTTTCCTCTGAAGTGTCTGAGTTTACAGTGTGTGTGAAGCTGCATAAATAGGGTCCTCCGGGACTGTAATGTTACATTCCAACGGCCTCCAAGCAAAACCATAGTCTTGTACACAATGTGTTCCCCGAGGAAAATAACCAGTGCTGGAGTAAGGTAATGGGATATTTTGATTTAAGCTGGGCATGATTAAATGCTGCAGGACAAAGAGTGGCAGCAATGTTTTTGTGATGTATGTTTTTTTCTGTGGCTGGGTTTACTTAGCAATGCATGACATGTTGTTCATAAACTTATTTTAGCATTGTTTTGTTTCTGAGTTGGGCATTTGAAATTAATCTTCAGTCCATTTTTTGTCAGTCCATTCAATACAGCTTATTCGTCCAAATGATTTACCATCTGCTTTCATTTATATAGATTACGCTGTAAATGTATCAAGAACTTGGAACCAAGCATGAAAAAGGCGACCAAGCCCACGGCCGCCACCTCCAGGACCTCAGTGGGCACTAAAGCCCCAGGCAGATCAGAGGGAAGCAGCAATATGGGCACAGGAGGCAAGATGACAAACAAAACCCAGAGTTCAGCTCCACTTTCTAAGGTAGCAGTTTTACTCTGAGGAATCTGAAACGTTTGTTTTTAAGCATGTTGAACCAAGTGCCAGCTAAGACTGCTGGATTTAACTTGTCTGTTGCAGATCATTAACTTAATTTTTTGCTTGCTAACCAGGCAAAGAGCAGTGATGATCTCCCAGCGGTGAGTGCAGGAAGTGGATCTGTTTCTGCTAGCAACAGTAACACTACTGCTAGAAACAAGAGAGGATCCTCCTCTCAGATCACCAGCAACACTGAGACAAGGTCCAAGACCACTTCAGGTAGTGTTAGGTATTGCCTTGGTTCTAGCATATTCAGCAGGAGGTTTTTTTGATAATGAAATGTCTATAGTAGTTATACATTTATGGACACATTCTGCTTTTACAGGTCTTTCAGGAAGGCGTGCAACGTCAACTGTGTCTAAGGAGCCAGGCTTGACTAGAGATAACTTGCGAGAAAGATCCAGAACCAGTGTTGCCAAAAAACCCACCGATACCATGCCTCAAAAGCGTTCACGATGTCGTACCTTACCTGACTCTGAGTCAAAAATGAGCAAATCTCGCTCAGACAGCCAGATAAGCCATAAAGCAGTTCTTGAGTGTCAAGTGAATGACCTTCTTGGTTTAGCCAAGAGCAAAGACCTGGAAATCCTTCATCTTCGCTCTGAACTTCGAGGCATGAGAACTCAGCTTGGCTTGGAAGAACTTGAGGCTCCTAACCAAGAACAAGTGTCTCAAGAGACCATGCAGCCTCCAGAGAAAGAGGTTATCAGTGCCACAGATGTGGAGTCTACTCTCCTCCTCCTTCAAGACCAGAACCAGGGTATTCTTGATGAGTTAAATATGTTGAAGAGTGAAAACCGAATGCTGAAGGATCGCCTTAATGCGCTCGGCTTTTCTCTGGAGCAACGTCTAGACAGCCCTGAGAAAAGTCTGCGCTGCCTGCCTATGAGTCCTGAGCATGTAGTTGGCGGCGACAGCAGTAGCGGAGGTCACAGTGAAAGTGTACGGGGTGGTATGCGTGCATCCTCTGCAGAAGGCTCTGCTCAAGGCTCTACAGAGGACCTGCTGTCAGAACAGAGACATTTAGGCTCTCCTGATGCTGTGGACAGTGAGTGCAGTGAGGCCTACCAGCCGATCACTTCCAGCGATGATGCTCTAGATGCACCATCAGGTTGTGGATCATCTTCGGAATCAGAAGGTGGGCTGCCGAGCCGGGAACATTCCCGTAGAGGCAGCAGTGGGAACACCAGTGAGGTTTCTGTGGCCTGCTTGACTGAGCGAATCCATCAAATGGAGGAAAATCAACACAGCACGTCAGAAGAACTCCAGGCCACCCTGCAGGAGCTTGCAGATCTGCAGCAGATCACTCAAGAGCTGAGCACAGAGAATGAACGGCTGGGCGAGGAGCGTGCTATTCTGGTGGACTCCCTCTGTCAGCAAGGGGAGCGTCTGGAGCTATATGGAAGACAACTGGAGTACTTTCGTGGACTTCTTGATGAGCATTGTGTGGCCTATGTCAAGGATGATGAAGACGCCAAAAGTGGGCGCTATGTAGAGCTGGAAAGGCGCTATGCCGAGCTGAATGAGGGCTCCCGTTTTGAACGGGAGCAACTTCTGGGAGTGCAGCAACAGCTAAGCAGTGCCCTAAAGATGGCAGAACATGAGAATGCAGAAGCCCAAGGCCTCATGGCAGCATTGAAAGAGCGTGTCATTATGGCAGAGAGAGCTGTGGAAATAGAGCGGCGGGAGCGAGCAGTTGCCAAAGCAGAGTTAGAAGCATTAAGGGTGCTGTCTGAAGGGGAGCAGGTGGAGCTGAACCGCTGTAGAATCCAACTTGAGCAAGAGAGGCAGAGAGTGGCCCAGCTCCTCTCCATCCACAATGCAGGGGATAAGACGGACATACGCCACCTGCTGGAAAGCGAGAGATTAGATAAAGAGCGAGCAGAGGCCAAAGCAGCTCAGTTAAAAGAAGAACTTGGGCACACACGCAGTGAAGCTGCCCAGCTCCAGGAGGCGATTAGCAAGGTGAAACATATTCAGAAAATGTATACCTTTGCTTGCCTTAAAGGAACTCTCTACGCTTTTTGGAAATAGGCCACTTTTACAAGTCACCCAGAGTTCAACAGTTGTCTTTAGCCATTTTTTAATCTATTCAGTTGGCGGCAACGATTTTAGCTTAGCATAGCGTAGATTATTAAATATGATTTTAAAAACTTTTAAATCTATAGTCAATCCAAACATTAATTCTGGAAACCAATTTCTATTGGGGTATTTATTTTTTGTTTTATTATTTTTGTATTGTTTTGTACACTTATTTGGTCATCGGTAGGCCCACACGGAATCTGTGCACGCAGAATTCCGCAGATTTTTAGCCCATGATTGATTGTTTATTTACTTGTGTAAATGTGTGTAACTTCAAATTTATTCAGTTTTAAAATTAATTTCAGTAATATTACTGACTAATATGAAAATATTTATACGATTTATTAACAATACAGTTTGTAAAGTCATATTTTCTGTATTTTAGTAGATATATTATTTGAGAGATTTGCTTTGTTTACCAAACAAAGTGGATCTAGTTGAATTTGGATTGTAAAGATTAAATACAAGCTAAAATGGTGTTACTTTTTATTTCCTATATTAAGGTTTTAGTTATGATACTCCCAAAGTCATTCCACATAAATCCGTAGATTTTTACCAAAATTCTCATCGGTTGCTATTATTATTATATCAGTGGCTATATTAAAACATTATTGTATCAGTCAAATTTCATTTTGGTGTGTTCCTACCATTCAATTACTATTTTATGAATATTACTAATTCAGAGACGATGTTTTTTGCCCACTAGTAAAGTAAGTGTATTCAGACATAGGGTTAGTGTCTTAGCATTGAATTAGTATATTACTTTTTGAAGGTAAAATCAAATCTTTATCTTTATCTAAAATCAAACAAACATCTAACATGTCCTTGTGCTAACTAAAGCTTGAGGATGAGTTCCGAGCATTTCGGGATGATGTCCAGTCGCAGTTAGCAGAGCAGAAGAGGCTACTGGAGCAGCAGTGTTCTGAGCTGGAGGAGAAGGACACTGAGATCGCTGACATGAAGGAGACCATTTTTGAGCTGGAGGATGAAGTCGAACAGCATCGTGCTGTCAAGCTCCATGATAACCTCATCATTTCTGACCTAGAAAGTAAGTTACTTGACCCTTGCAAACACATGCAAGGTGGTATCAGCTATGAAATTTAGTTGGTATATATATAAAATGGACATGTGACATGGCCTAACATAAGAGCCTGCAACTGCACAGTTTGACCAGAGGGGCGCTAAAACCTGTACAGCCACCTCGTGGATGCAATTTCTATAAGGGTGGCACTGATATGAATATTTAAATAATTAGCATATTATTTTTTATTATTAGCAAAGTAAATGCACAGCAGCTTATATATAGTCATGCCACAGGAAAAATAGTGCCAGCGTGGCTTTCAATTGGAATGACAACTTATTTTAAAAGTATGTTAAATAATTTTATTCGGGTGTCTCTGCTATCTCATTTTCGTGTGGTAATTGTAGTTATTCATTCATTCATTTTCTTTTTTTGCCTAGCCCCTTTATTAATCAGGGGTTGCCACCGTGGAATGAACAGCCAACTTATCCAGCATTTGTTTTATGCAGCGGATGCCCTTCCAGCTGCAACCCATCACTGGGATCACTCATACACTCTCATTCACACTCATACACTATGGACAATTTAGCTTACCCAATTCACCTGTAGCACATGTCGTTGGACTTGTGAGGGAAACTGGAGCACCCAGAGGAAACCCACGCGAACACTGGGAGAACATGCAAACTCCACACAGAAATGCCAACTGACCCAGCCGAGGCTCGAACCAGCAACCTTCTTGCTGTGAGGCGACAGCAATCCCCACTGTGCCACTTCACTGCCTAAATGTAGTTATTTGTATTGTAAATAATTTTTAAGTTTAACATTTTCAAAAGTGATTACAGTGTTATATTTATCAGTTAGAATATTTTATGACTCACTAGCCACTAGCTAGTCCGTTAATCCTTCTTACAATTGAAAGGTTAATTGTTTAATTATTAAAAAAAATGTTTTTTGCAGTTTTAAAAATATAGTTTTGGCACACGCTGGAAATATTTCACACCACTATTCCTATTTTCTTTCATAAAACCCTACATTTTTGCATATACATTTGAAAACTGACAAAATTAAAGACAAATGTGCCTAATCCAACTCAGACCTCAAGCAAAAAATGTTTAATTTAAAATTTGAATGAATTCAAATTCTTGTTATGCAGGCTTCTGTCCACATAGGGGCATCATTGAGCCAACTGTGTCTTGACATTAACCTTTCAATTTCAGAGAACTGGATTGGCATGGTCATTTTGGATACCATAATACAAAAACAAATCTATCATATTTCAATGTTAAATGTATCTAAATAATATAATTAATTTAAAATAAATATTTCAGCAGCACATTAATCAGTTTTCTTTATAAATCTGTATTTATTTCTGTTTTTTTGTTTCCCCACAGATTCCATCAAAAAGCTTCATGATCAAAAATACGACATGGAGAAGGAGATTAAAGTTCTTCATCGAAAACTGCGGGTACATTTGTCCTTTTTATTTGCAGACTTTGCACTGTGCTTATAAGATTTAGGAAAATAATTCTATTAATTTATTAATTATTTCAGAAGTAATCCCAGTTACCCCTCAAATACATGCTTTAGGTTTATTTCCTGTAAGTTTGTCATTATCTTGTTATCAAAATGGTTGACCTGTGTCTTGGTATTGCAAGATAATTGATAGCGCTCCACTGGAAGAATGTAGAAAGTCCATCCATTGACCACTGGTTGACAGATTTAGCACATTATACTGAACTAGAAAGAATAACCTACAGTAAAGGGCAAATTTAAGGACTATAATAAATTTGTAGGATCTCTTTATACAGTTCTAAATATCGGCCAAGCAACAAATCACTCTTACTCTGATATGACTGATATGTGTGTATAGATGCACTTTTGTAAGTGACAATAAATGGTTGTGTCTGTCTTAGCCCATGTATGACAACATCTTTAGCTAAACTGATTATGATAACTGAAATTCTTTTATTCTTTGGGGGAGCTGTTTTTGTTTATCATTGGAAGGACATTTCAGTGTACTTCCAAATGAAATGGAATATTGAGTAGAGGGCGGGGCTTTTTTACATTTACATTTAAATTCAGTCATTTAGCAGACGCTTTTATCCAAAGCGACTTACAAATGAGGACAAGTAAGCAATTTACACAACTATAAAAGCAACAATGAATAAGTGCTATAGGCAAGTTTCAGGTCTGTAAAGTCTAAGAAGGAAAGCATTAGTAATTTTTTTTATTTTAATTTTTGTTATTTTTTTTAAATACAGTTAGTGGTATATCCAGAGAGGCAATTGGAGATTAGGAAGTGAAGTGGAGACTAAAAAGTTCCCTCATAACATGCAACTGTACAAGGGGCGTGGCTAAAAATATTGTGGCTGAAGCCGTGAACAACAGAAAAAGACCACGAGAGCAATTGGCCAGACTTTTGATATTTTTTTACTTTTACTACTTTTGTAGTGATGAACAATTAAAACTCTTTATTTAAGTACTGGTTGGGCCATTTATATGGATACACCTTAATAAAATGGGAATGGTTGGTGATGTTAACGTCCTGTTTGTGGTACGTTAGTATATATGTGAGCGGGCTTGTAAAATAACTCATGAAAGAATACGCAAAAGAAGTTGCGTTTAAAACCAAGCACACCATTGTTTTTCTTGTGAAATGCCCAGTAAGTTTATTAAGGTGTATCCATATATATGGCCCACCCTGTAGATTTACTTGCATTGAATAATTGTTCACCTAAAGAATAACAGAGTGTCCGCAGGCAGGACCAGCACATCCATAGAGATGACCTAGGCGGCAGAATGGTGAGGGCGGCGTCCGCCTTGCAGCCCTGTATGAGTCTGAAATTTAATTTGTAATGGTTAAAGTCTTAAAGGTCCAGTGAAGTGAAAATGTGCATTTTTATGAATGAGTGTATGAATGAGCGAAAAAAGAAAACAGAACACAAAGGCAGAGCATTTCATAGGTGTTTTTTTTTAAGTTTTTGTATGTTACAAACTTTTGTGCTAAACAAGTAGCATTATTGACGATAATACAGTCACTTACTGCATTTACCATGGGGCAAAGTAGCACCAACTCACGCTAATTATCAGGCTTACGCTAGCTTTGTTGAATAAAGGGTGGATATCTAGGGTGGATAATACATTTCCATGCACACAAAAACCAGCAATTGTTGCAATGCTCATGCGCTCACTTATCCATAAGTGTTGAAAAGTGATGTCAAATTATAATTTTCCTAATTTAAAAAAATGATTGCATACTGACCAGCAGGAACTCTACCGATCATATATATGTGTATATATATATCTCTGGTTCTAGATGGCCAGTTCTCCACTGCACCTTGGTTTTATTTCAAAGGAACACTACTCTGTACCAAAATGGTGGCTCTATTGACGCATTCCTTAGCTCCTCCCCTTTAAAAAAACAGCCAATAGTGTTTCGTTTTCATCAGTGCTTTGCCAGTGAGAGTGAATGAGCTCAAGCACATCGAATGAAAAGCAAATGAGAAGGGTCTTTTCAAGGAGGCGGGGCATGTCAGATACAAGAGAGCATTTGATTGGTCAGAAGATTTGACGAGAAACTGAAGTATGAAGTGACGTCTGAAAAAGGCGTTGATATAGTTGAAGTCCTATAGTTGTAGAATTTTTTCTTTTTTTAAAATATTTTCCGAATGATGTTTGACAGAACAAGGAAAATTTCACAGTATGTCTGATAATATTTTTTCTTATAGAAAGTCTTATTTGTTTTATTTTGGCTTAAATAAAAGGAGATTAAAAATTTTTAAAAGTCATTTTAAGGTCAATATCATTAGCCCCTTTTAGCTATATATTTTTTCTCGATAGTCTACAGAACAAACCATCGTTATATAATAACTTATCTAATTACCCTAACCTGCCTAATTAACCTAATTAACCTAGTTAAGCCTTTAAATGTCACTTTAAGCTGTATAAAAGTGTCTTGAAAAATATCTAGCCAAATATTATTTGCTGTCATCATGGCAAAGATAAAATTAATCAGTTATTAGAAATGAGTTATTAAAACTATTATGAATAGAAATGTGTTCTTCTCTCCGTTAAACAGAAATTGGAAAAAAATAAAATAAACGGGGGCTAATAATTCAGGCAGGCTAATAATTCTTACTTTACCTGTATATTAACTATACAAACTAACATCTAAACATTTTTTTTTATTTCACTCGACCTTTAAATTTAACATTTTACCCTAAATGACACTGTGTGCTAAATGTATTTATGAACTTTCACACAAGCAAAGATCTCTATGATTCCTCACATGAATGACGTCTGTCTCTCACAGGAGGAATCGGCAGAATGGCGTCAGTTTCAAGCAGATCTGCAAACAGCCGTCATCATCGCCAATGACATCAAGACCGAAGCTCAGGAGGAGATCGGAGACCTGCGGCGACGCTTACAAGAGGCTCAGGAGAAAAACGAGAAGATGAACAAAGAGCTAGAGGAGCTGAAGAGCCGGAAGTAAGAGGAGATGTAGTGTAGATGGTCTCACTTTACAATGTTGTATTAGTTCATGTTATTTAATGCACTTACGAACATGAGCAAACAGTGAACAATACATTCATTACTGTATTTATTCACGTCTGTTAACATTAGTTTATGAAAATACAGTCCATCATTGTTAGTTCATGTTAACTCACGGCTCCTTAACTAATGCTAACAAGTATGACTTGAAATGTATATATTGGATTAGTACATGTTGAACTATCATTAATAAATTCTGTATATCTATTGTTCATTATTAGTTCATCTTTGTAAATGTATTAACTAACATTAACTAGTGAAACCTTATTGTATAGCGTGACCGTGTCGGGTATTTACAACCCAGTGTAAATGTGGGATGTTGACACAGGTTGCATGATTGAATGATTTATGTTTTTGTGTGTGCAAATATTTGCATATGCAGGAGATTTGAGTGTGTGTGTGTGTGTGTGTGTGTTGTGTTACAGGCAGGATGAGGAGCGTGGCCGTGTGTATAATTATATGAATGCCGTGGAGAGGGATCTGGCTGCACTAAGGCAGGGAATGGGCCTGAGCCGACGTTCCTCCACTTCCTCTGAACCTTCACCCACCGTCAAAACACTCATTAAGAGCTTCGACAGCGCCTCACAAGGTTTGCAAACACATGCTGGTCCGTGCAGACACTCGATAACAACTTCAATTCCAGATAGTTCAGATAGTGAAATAAAAATGTACTCACTATTAACTCTCCATTCAAAGTGTCAAGACTTTTTTTTCGGTTGAATACAAAAGAAGAAATTTAGAAATATGTTCGAAATCTGTAAAATAAAGCATGACCATATGCATGATCATATTTAGGGTGGTGCATCCTGTTGTTTTTTACACTGTCAGAAAGGCAGGGTTCCGCAAAATTCATCCATGTTGTCCCAACACACAATGACTAAGTTAACCGTTATATTCAAACCACTTAAATTTGTTAAGTTGTCTCAAAAAAAACACAAGAATTGTGATGTATCAACTCATTTTAAACAAACAGCAGAATACTTTTTTGAGTGTAGATCTAGGTTGGTAATCAGTTGGTTATAGGTTACTTACCTTTGCTAAGTTCTTGACTGAGCAAATCAGCAATTGAATCACTTTAGGGCTGTGCAATATGAACAAAATAATCAATAATTGCCATTATACAAACGAATATTGCGATTGCAATTTTATTTGCGATTTTGGCAACTGTTTTTGCTTTTTCAAACAAGCTACATACATTTTAAATGCATTCAGTGCACAAGAATTGCATAACAAAACTATTGAGTCAGTAATTTCTTTGTGCCGTTATGACCCTTTTCCATAAGGCACGGCGCTTGCAAATGCTTGAACAGTGGATACTAGTTTAGTCTGTTTGGGCTGGCTTTGATGTGTGCTTTTGTTTGTTTCGATGGACTTTGTCGAGATGCATTGATCATGCAGTTTTTTATGACACTGTTTAAAGTGTTGGATCAGATTTGTAGTATTGCTCCGTTTTGTTGGAATGATCATTTCACAAGTGTTAAAAATTGCCTTGCTCTGTGACACATCCTCTCTCCTGAATCCAAAATACCCCAAAATGACTGTCGTTGAATTTCTCCTTGGCACCATATTATTTTTATTTTGAACTGCATCCATATTTTATGCTCTTTCCTCCTGCTTGCCTATTCGGTTCTCTCACTCAACTTCATCATGCGCAGTGTTAGCTGGTTGACATAATAGCTATATTTTCCCGGTGCGCTACGTCAGCTCTGATTGGTTAACATATTAATATCATGCACACAAGAACACAGGGCTCGAAATTGCGACCATTTTGGTGGCATATGCGCCCGAAAATTTATCTATGCGACCTCATAATATATCTGGGAGCATTAGTGCGACTGCAGATAATGGTTGTAGTGCGACCTGTTTTGATTTTTTGTAAAAACGTGCTGAATCGCTCTTCCCTGCCGCTATATTGGTTCATATTAGCTGTCATTCACTCACGGTATTCAGCTGTCAGATGACAGGGAAGGAGCTTTTATGACCACGGGAAATGCAAACGGCTGAAGAGTAAAAACTTAAAGCACTCAGGTTTGCAAACCCCACCTAAAGTTGAGGCGCAGATGAAAGCGATCATGACACGTCACGTGGTGAATAATGATCCGCCAGCTGAGATCAATCGAGTACGCGCTTCTTGGAGAAGGCGCCCGAATCTCCTGCGTGTTCAGCGCAAATGTCCGCTAAAAGTCAAATCTAATACTTTACATATCATCGCCAAATAAGCTCGCCTTTGTCAGTCCTATTAATGTTGTTTTAAAATACAATAAATCCCTTAAAAAACTATTTGCAGCGGTGCTCATTCATTTTTGGTGGGTGCTCCTAATTTTTTTCTGGTGCTCCTAAAATTTTTTTGGTGCTCCTAAATATTTGAAGTTGGGAGCACCGTGCTACCAAGTAAAAAAGTTAATTTCGAGCCCTGGAACAAATTCGGAATAAAATTCTAAATAAATTAATAGATAAAAAATTGCAGCCTTTTGCGATTTAGAAATTGCGTGTGCTTAAGTTGCGATTTGTTTTTTTGTTTTTTTTTTTCCGATTAATTGCACAGCCCTAAATCACTTCTCCTCTGTGTTCATGTGTCTATGTGTCTTTGTTCAGGTCCTGTTCAAGGCAGTCCAACTGCTGCTGCTGCTGCTGTTGCTGCTGCTACTGCGATTTCCAGAACACCCCTCAGTCCCAGTCCAGTCAAAACCCCTCCAGCCGCTGCCGTCTCCCCTATACAGGTATGCACGATTGGTAATAATAAAGCTGAATAGAAATTATAAAATGTCAAAGGCACTTTTAAAAAAAAAACTAAATTACTTGAAAAGTAATAAAATGTCAGAAGAAAAGTAAAATGCAGAAAGTTAAGAAAGACTACAGTATATACAGTGCTCAGCATATAGGAGTAAACCCCTCACAAATCTATGTTTTAAATTCATATTTTCTAAAAGATGATACACAATATTATATTTCTGCATATACAGTTGAAGTCAGAATTATTACCCCCCTGAATTATTAGCCCCCCTGTATATTTTTTCAACGAAGAGAAGAGAAAACACATTCTAAACATAATAGTTTTAATAACCCATTTCTAATAACTGATTTATTTTATCTTTGTCATGATGATTGTAAATAATATTTTACAAGATATTTTTCAAGACACTTCTACACAGCTTAAAGTGACATTTTAAGGCTTGACTAGGTTAATTAGGTTAATTATGCAGGTTAGGGGAATTAGGCAAGTTATTGTATAACGATGGTTTGTTCTGTAGACTATTGAAACAATATATAGCTCAAAGGGGCTAATGATATTGACCTCAAAATGTTTTTTAAAAATTAATAAAACTGCTTTAATTCTAAAATAATACAAATAAGACTTTCTCCAAAAAAAATATCGGACATACTGTGAAATTTCCTTGCTCTGTATAGTTTATTTTTTATTTATTTATTTATTTATTTATTTTATTTATTTTACCATTTTTAATTTTATTTTATTTTACAAGATCTATTTTCCAGACATTTGAAAGCCTACATTTGAAATTTCTAGCTGTATGTTTGATAGATGCTTAAGGAGGTCTCTCTGATGACTCTAGCAGATGCATGTCAGTTCTTCTATATGGGGATTTAATGTGTGTCAAATGAGATCTCCAGATTGTGCGTGTGTGTGGAGCTAGACTGGGGCTTTCCTTCTCTTTCTCTTCACGGATGTCCTCTGCATCGGCACTGTGTTTCAGTAGGCCGTGCAAGTCTCATCCAAATGTGCCAAAACAGGATGTTTTCGTGAGGAAAAAGAAAAAAAATTAAGCAGCTTGACGTAGTTTTGAGTACTAAATGCGTTCAAGTCATAGCGATCTTGTGGCGAATTTGAGTTTATTATTGGTTCTTGTACTTAACATGATGTACTGAGGACATCATGCTGCTTGAGGAGGAGGAGGAGGTTTGGATTTAGAAGTCTGTTTTAGGGTAAATGGCTGGAAAAACTTAGAGAATATCCATTTTATATTGGAAAAAATCTCTTTGAAGTATTGGTCATTAAGCTTGTTTAAAAACTTATGAAAATCTAGTTCACATGAGTGTTCAGGGTTAAAACAAACAAACTGTTTTTGAGGCATTTAGCAAAATAAATAACAATAAATGTCTTTAGCGAAATGGCAAGTAAATATTTGTCACTTTCATGGAGTTAATAATAAAGGGCAAAAATAACTGGCTGCTCCTGGTTTTCCTAGTTGACCAATTGTTGCTTGTTTAAGCCATTCATTGGGCAATTTCAAGTTTATGATCACAATTGCTTAAAATAATGGAGGGAGAAAATGGTTTTAGTGTCAGGGATGAGAAATAATGTTGCTTATGTCTTTGTAGTATATTACAGATAAAAACTGAAGCAAAGTAAAAAGTGTTTGAAGTATAATTTTAAACTTTAAGTACACATTATGCAAATCACATTTTATTTAATTTAATTTTTTAATTTAATTTATTTATTTATTTATTTTATTTTTTATTTTTTTATTCAGTGTTTTTAAGGGTCATGTAATTTTAGAATGTCTATTCCAGACATTTGAAAGCCAGGAAATTTTTTTAATGTTTGTGTCCAAATCATGGAATATTAGGAAAATATGTTTTATGCTTTAAATAAAAAAAAGTAAATGCATTTTTTTTCCATCGTTTTACGCCTGTTTTGTATTGCACACAGTTAAATTATTCATTGTTATTCTCATAGTGACTAATAAAGTTTAAAAAATTTATATATTTAATATATTCTTGTACTATTATTTCATTATTTGACATTATTTTAACATATAATTCATATATGAGTTCATATATCTTTTGTTCATTTGATATTTGATCTAAATTGGGAACCCTGCACATTCTTATAAAATCCGCAAATCCTTTAAAAAATGTACGCTATTGTTCAAAAGGTTTGAAAATTGTGTCATTTATTTGAAAGGAATAATTTCTTGTGATCTCAGAGTCTGTTTATTTGATCCAAAAATCACATTGATCCACAAAATATTTTTGTAACATCCTTATTCAAAGCTTTCACAACAAAAAGTAACTTTTATAAGTTTTTTTTTATCATCTTTTGTGTTACAAAGAGTTCTAATGTTCTTGCAGACAGACAATATTTTGCTGCACGATTGTGTTTGTGAAATTGTGTTATTGAGCACAAGACAGAGTGAGGCTATGAAAACCAACGCTTTAAAAACATCAACAATTCACCTCTAACCGTGTTGACCACCTGAGCTTTAATATTACTTTGTTGCATTTATTCAATGCTTCAATATGTGTTTAAGTTGGGCTGTGATCTACGGATGAGTGATATTTATTTGTGACGTATTCCGGATGATTTTCCTAGTGATATAAAACAGATCATAACACTGACTTTAATGTCTGCAGATGGTCATAAGACGGCCGCACAACCCATACTTGTCTTATGACTTGCATTTTTTAGTAGCGCATGTGGTTTAAACTTCAGTTACAAAACTGCTCTTGAGTCGGCTGTTCATTTCTTGAAACTGGCATTGTCTGTATTTTTTCCTCATCAAAAAGACTCTCAGCCAGTTTCCATGTCTTAATAATAAATAATAAAACAGATATTTATTGTATTGTGTATTAAAATGTAATTAATAGAAGCTAAAACAAAAATATATATATAGAAACATAAAAAAAAAACATTTTACAAAATAAGTAATTACCTAGTAATTACACAATAAACAATCTTAAAGGAAATTGGAAGTTGAAATAAAATTGTAATTAAATCAAATAACTATTGTATTCAAATAACTATATATTATAATCAAATAACTAAATATTTGAAGCAATTTAAGAATAAAAATAATAATGAAACTGCTAAAACTAAAATATATATTTTTAAAACTGCTTGAAATAAATGTTTTGTTCTAAATCACCCTTATAACAAAAATAATAATAATAATTATGTTTTGGCTTATTGCAATAATAATAATGATGATAATAATAACAATACTTATTATTGTTATTATTTCTTCTTCTTCTTCTAATAATAATAATAATAATAATAATAATAATAATAATATTGAAATCAAGATAATGTACAGTTTTACAAATTTTGTTGTGCATCTTTGTCATTATTTTTTATTATTATTCTTTTAATGTCTACAATTTATTTGAATACATGTCTGTTTATTTGAGTTTTTTGTCAAACTAAATAAATGAAGACTACTTAATATAAAATAAGTAATTTTATGTTTTAAATTTAAATGCAAATATTTTTAATAATAATTATTGTTATTATTTTGAACAATAATAGTATTAATAATACAAAATAATATGCAGTTTTGGTAATGTTGCTGTGTATTTTTGTCATTATTTTTTTGTCTAAATGATTTTAATACATGTCTGTTTATTTAGACTAGCTAAGATAAAATTAGTCATTTAATGTTTTTAATTTAATTTAATGTTTTAAATATTTATTTCATTTCAATGTAAAAATATGTTTTGTCCTATTATTTCCTACTGTGTATAAACAAACAAAAAAATAAAACAAATAAATAAATTCCAGTCGTGTGGTGATCTTTTAATTTTATTTAGTATTTATTTTCTTTTAATTGTAAAAATTTTGTCCTACTATATCCTACTGTACATAAACATACAAATATATAAATACATTTTTGCCCTGTGGTGACCTTTTAATTTTGTTTAATATTTATTTCCTTTAATTTTAAAATGTGTTTTTGTCCTACTACCTCCTAATTTACATAAACAAATAAATAAATTCCAACCATGTGGTGGTCTTTTCATTTTATTTAATCTTTTTTTATTAAAAATGTTTTTGTCCTACTTCATCCTACTGTTTATAAACAAACTAACAAACAAACAAACAAACAAACAAACAAAATAAATAAATGCATTCCACCCATGTGTTGATCTTTCAATTTTATTTAGTATTTGTTTTAAATATTTTTATTTAAAAATGTTTTTGTCCTACTGTATACACACACACACACACACACACACACACACACACACACACACACACACACACACACACACACACACACACATCATTCATTCATTCATTCATTCATTCATTCCAGCCCTGTTTTGATCTTTAGTTTGTCCTCTTTCTGTGTTGCAGAGACACACCATCAGCTCCAAACCTCTGTCATCAATGCTGGACAAAAGGCCGAGCTTCAATGACCTGAACATACCAGGTGTGCTGACGTTTCTCTCACTGCAGACCTCACTCCTCCATCTTTCACTCTGTTCCTTCAGTCGTCTCTGATCTCGTTATTCAGGGGCGACGGCAGGGCTAAAGGTCAGGGGTAATGGCTCTGCTACCTTTCCCTCAGGCGCTTCACTTTTGCAGTTAATAAGAGCTCAGCTTGTGTGCCAGGCCTTGAAAAGGAAGCAGGAGATTTATTTTAGATGAGCACGGGCTTAGTCGTGCCACATAACACCCATTGTTGTCGTTGTTGTTGTTTTTCCATGATCGTTTGTGTGACTTTTTCTTTTATTCAATAGCAGAGCACCTCTTGCGGACCTCACCTGTAACGCGGCCTGGCTGCCCTATTCAGAGAGTCACAAACATGGACACCAGCAAGGCCATTTCAGGTACAAACTCAAGACTGGGGAGAGATTTGAAATGCTTGTTTTATTCACATTCAGTATTTAATTTTTCTCAGGTATATGTTGTGATATGAAAAGATACAGCGGTTTATTTGTATTAAGAGCAAATTAATTGTTACCAGCATATCTCGCTTTATATTCATTATTGGGGTATTGTTGGTTCTTTTTTCAACTTTATTGTTATTTTCTCCAACTCTGCAGGATTTGCAAATACAATTACAGATACAGAAAAAACTAAATGATAAATGTTTGATGACATGCTTGGATGTGATTTAAACAAAAAATACAGCAACACTTTCATAAATACGCAAATAAAAAGAATTAATAAAAAAAATGGAACAAAGCTCAACAAGATCATCCAAACAAATATGCAAAAACAACAACAATTTTAAGTAGATGCAGTCAATAATAATAATAATAATAATAATAATAATAATAATAACAGTTTGAGTGCTTGCTGGGGAGACTGAGAAGAAGTTTGAAATATTTAATTTGTATTTGCAATATTTTATTTTTTGTAGTTTATGTTGTGTTATGAAAAGAAACTGGAAATTATTTGTATTTGGAACAACTTGGGACAATACAAATAATTTACTTGCTGGAGAAACACACATGGATATGTTTATATTTATATTATTATTATTTGCTGTTTGGTTCAAACTATAATATTTGTCATAATTTATTATTTTTGTTATTTATTTATTGTTATTCATATTGAAATTGAAAATTTATGTGTTTTCTAAAAATTCTGTAAATATGTAAAAGCAGACGTGCAAAAATATGAAATATTCTACAATATTAAATTAAGTATATGCTCTTTTTGCTTTAATTTTATAGTTGTCATTGTTAATAATAACAAAATAATAATAATATAATAATATTTAAAAACTACTAATAATAGTATAATAATAATAATACTATAATATTACAAGACTTCTAATAATAGTATAATAATAATAATAATAATAATAATATAAAAATACCACTACTAATACAATAATAAAATTAAGCATTTTAATAATATAATATAATATTAATTATTATATAACAATACTACTACTTATAAAAATAGTTTAATTACAGTAATATAATAATAATAATATAACATTACTACTACTACTTATATAATAATAATAATAATAACAATATAGCAATACTACTGGTAATAATATATTTATAAATAATTATAATATAACAGTACTACTACTAATATAATAATAAAATAATAATAATATAACAATGCTACTAATAATGGTATGATAATTACAATGATGATAATATAATAATAGTATTATAATAACAATAATAATAACATAACAATACTAATAATAATAGTATTATAATAGTAGTAATAATAATAACAATAATAATAATATAACAATACTACTAATAATAGTATAATAATAATAGTAATATAATAATAATAAAAATAATAATAATATAACAATACTACTAATAATAGTATAATAATAATAGTAATATAATATAATAATAATAAAAATAATAATAATATAACAATACTACTAATAATAGTATAATAATAGTAGTAATATAATAATGATAATATTAAAATAATTAATAATAGAAGGTCGCTGCTTCGAGCATCGGCTCAGTTGGCGTTTTTGTGTGGAGTTTGCAGTGTGTGGAATGTTTAGTGTTTTATATTTTTTATAATATTAATAATAGTACTACTACTACTACTATTAATATTAATAATAATAATTGCTATTATTAATAATAAAAATAGTACTAATCATAATCCAAATTGGTATTTATACTATATATTATATTTAACTTAAAATAAATACATTTTTAGCCTAAGGGCTGCATTGATTAGAAAATGTGCACAGAAGTTTTCAGAATAAACCTGATCTCCTTATTAATCTGTATGCACACATGGCGTCTGAAACAACTTCACTCTTTATTTAATCACAGTTTATGCACACTCGCCCTAAGCCACATTGAAATATTGACTTTGCTTTGATATATTACTCAGCCTTAGTTTAAACCCTAAATAATGCATCAACTAAGCATTCAACTGTACATGTACTCAACATGTCTAAAGCTCATTTACATGTGTATAAGTGACCGATTTCAACTGTAAAATGATCACATGGTTGATACTATCTCCTGAAAAACCCTAAAATAATGCTTATCCTCTGCACACAGTTTCCCGTAGGAGCAGTGAGGAGTTGAAGAGAGATTTGTTGGCCCCGGAATCGTCTGCTCCGTCATCCCTCATGTCTTCTCCACAGCTGTCTCTGTCCTCAAACGCGTCCTCTCCCACTGCCTCCATCACACCCACCACACGAGGCCGATTACGGTAAGCGGGACGGCCCTTCCTTGTTTGCCTCTTTTATGTTCATTTCTTCTTTTGTTGACTTTCTAGAAGACTCGCTCTCGCTGTCAGCTCTGCCAGATGTTGTTTCTCTCTGTTTCACACTCCCGTCTCTGCCGCCGTGTTGACAGGCCGCTGTTTTGAGAATGGATGTCACTCGTTTGCCTGTTCTGAAACCTGACCGCTGGTCCACCTTTTGAATAGGCTATTGGAGGAAGACCAGTCATTCTGCACTTTCCTTTATTATCAGTACATTTCCTTCTGGTTGTAGCTGTAACTTCTTTGCTGGAAAAATCCGGCTTGAACCAACTTCTGATAATACTCGAGTACTGACTGATTGAAGCTGGAGGATTATTTCATTAATAATAGATTTTTTTTATTAAAATGTATTATTACTATGATTTTATTATTATTATTATTATTATTATTATTATTGTTACATAACTTATAATTTGTGATTTTATTTAATGTATTATATAATATAACTCTTTATGAATTATAATAACTATTATAGAATTTAATGATTGTAATAAAAAAATATAATGATATAATCTATATTAATAAAGCTAGACAATAGTCATTGCATTAATAACTGTTGTTGTTGTTGTCACAGACACATAATATAGTATAGTATAATATAACTACATATGTATGATAATAGCTTATGGTATTCAATGAATTTAATAATACAATATTATATAATGTATAATGATGTACATAAACAAAAGTCTTTGTGTCTTTGTGTAACTATCATATTATTATTATTATTATTATTATTGTTGTTGTTGTTGTTGTTGTCACAGACACATAAGTTATAATTTATGTGATTTTATTTATTGAATGTATTATATAATATAACTATTTATGCATGATAATAACTATTATAGAAGTTAATGATTGTAATAATAAAAATATAACGATATAATCTATATTAATAAATATCTAGACAAGAGTCATTGTGTTAATAACTATCTTATTATTATTATTATTATTATTATTATTATTATTATTGTCACCGACACATAACTTATAATCTGTGTGTGTTAATTTATTTAATGTATAATATAACTATATATGTATGATAATAACGTATGGTATTTAATGATTATAATAATACAATACTATATAATGCATGTTTTTATATATATAAAAACCCCTTTGAATTTTTCTTTCTTTTTTAAATATTTCCTAAATTATGTTTAACAAAGCAAGGAAATTTTCACAGTATGTCTGATAATGTTTTTTTTTCTAGAGAAAGTCTTATTTGTTTTATTTCGGCTAGGATGATAGCAGTTTTAATCTTTTTAAAAAGCATTTTAGGGACAAAATTATTAGCCCCTGTAAGCAAATTTTTTTTTTGATAGTCTACAGAACAAACCATCTTTATGCAATAACTTCCCTAATTACCCTAACCTGCCTAGTTTACCTAATTAACCCAGTGAAGCCTTTAAATTTCACTTTAAGCTGTTTAGAAGTGTCTTAAAGAAGATCTAGTAAAATAATATTTACTGTCATCATGGCATAGATGAAATCAGTTATTAGAAAAGATGCGACCAGATGACCGGATGTGATGTATTTCAGTGTTGTCCAAGCAGGGGTTTGAAATAGAAATAGTTTTTAACGTTTTTCTTTAACAAGAGAAAAGTCTATATGTAAAAAAAAAAACATTTCTATTCATAATTGATTAATAAACATGATTTTTTTATGTTGTCTCCTCATTCCCTCCATCATTTTTAGCAGTGTATGAGTTTATAGTATTCATTCAACCATAGTGAATGCACAGCGAATAATGGCTCTTGCTTTTGCACTCCTTTATTTCGAACACTGCGAGAACAGCTTCTCTCCAATTGTGCATGACAAAACTAAAAAATTCTGTGCGACTGCCACAAGGGGGCTTATTCCGGCAGTCGTGTCCAAATGTTGTGTGAAGTGGAAAGGCGGCGTTAGGGCTTATTATGCAGTCCTGTCACCATCTTGTTTAAAAACAAGCTAATGGCCGCCGACGCGCTCTCTCCGAAATTATAAATATATTAAAATAGGCACTATCCTTATAAATAAACTGCATAGTTGCAGTCTAAGCAACTACATTATCGACTAATAAAGCTTCAAAAGTGCATTATGTTGTCCAACAGCTGCAATATTTGTCAAACTGTAGGGTATCCTCTGCTTGTTTTTGTATGTGGGCAGAGTAATTCACAAGGGTGAAGGGTTAAGAGGTTGAATGAGTGCTGTTATTTGCAGAATATCGTACAGCTATCAGCCAATCAATAATGTATTAAAAGAAATAATGACTGGAGTAATAAATTTCTTTGAAACTGCATACAATAAGAAAGCAGTTATGTAAAATTGTAATAAATATTTAACAATTTAACCTTTTTTTTTTTACATTTAATAAATGCCTCCTTGATGAACAAAAAAAAAAAAAAACATGAAAAAAACTGACCCCAAACTTTTGTCCGGTAGTGTGTAAGTATGTATTAAATAGCACATCAGATTGGTAACTGCTGCTTATTTTGAAGTAATTACACACTTTGCAGCAGTGTGTTGACGTTTCTGGTCCTTTTGCTCATTTTAAACCTTCATAATGCCTTCCTATGATGAGTCAGGTGGGCTATTTTTGAAATACCGAATCATTAATCAGTTTATAAATTGTTACAGTGTCAGAACAATCTAAGAAAAGCACATCTATCAGGTCGAAGCGGCTTTGTAGAATTTCCACTCCAAAAAACATGAGGGATGGTTTTTGCTCTGAAAGTTGAGTCTGATTTAGAGGAAGTGTGTTGTTAAAGTGATTGATGTTTCTTCAGAGAGGAACGGAAGGACCCTCTGTCTGCACTGGCCAGGGAATATGGAGGATCCAAGAGGAACGCTCTTCTCCGCTGGTGCCAGAAGAAGACCGAGGGCTATCAGGTACTTGCTGATGTTTTGCTTTTGTGCCTACATTTAATTGTCTTTGTGCTGATTAGTCAGGCCCAGTATTTATGACCATAGAAGTATCCGCTGAATTGACTATTTTGGTCAGATCAGCCATATATGTGGCATTATTCAAAAATCTATATCAGCATTTGTTAAATTAAACACCATGTTGGTTATCGGACATAAAATTATTTGCGATTTGCACCCCTATTAATCCTGTAGGCTGGAACATGATGCTGAACATTATAATAATTCAGGAGGACTAATAAATCTGACTTTAACTGTAGTAGTCCCTGGCTATAACACAGTTCGCATTTCGTGGCCTCAGTTTTGCAGATTTTTGTTTTCATGAAATTTGACATGCTTATTTTCTACAGCGCATTGTATTCTGCGTCTTGATTAGTGCATTGTGTTCTGCCTCCTGATTGGCTGTAGACCATTGTCAATCAATCCCCTCTGCAATCCCCTTCAGAATGCGTTCAGCTTGCCAAATTTACATAAATCTTCGATCGCTAGCAGTGTAACTCTGAAGTGCTGTACTGGAGGTTTGCAAGTTTTCCCTCCACAATATCAATAAAATGTAGTGTCAAAGGCACCTGCAGAAGCACCCAAAAGGCAGAGGAAGATGCTAACCATCGCTCAAAAAGTTCTTCTGGACATGCTAAAGGAAGGTAGAATTTATACGGCTGTAGTGCGCCATTACAGAATAAATAAATGAAGATCATTGGTTTTAATCTTTGGTTTCATTCTATATCACTGGACTTATTTTTCTACGAAGGTTTAAACTTTGAGAGTGTTTAAAAGATAGAAAAGTGTGGGAATGGTAATGCCTATCTGAGAAAAGTGTATAAAGTGTGTAGTGAGGGGTTTTACAGCCTTAAAACATCTATAATAATTGTGGAAAATAAAGCTGACTACTTTGCGGATTTCGCGGATTGCTGGTTATTTTTAGTATGTAACTCCCATGAATAACGAGGGACCACTGTATATATTTAAAAAACAATTGTATATGTATTTCTTTCATGTTTTAAAACCACAAACTTTTTTTAACTGCCCAATTTAAATTAAAATCATTTCTAATATCATTTAAATCTCGATCTAAACCTAAACACTAGCAACCGTTGTGTTATTTCAGCAGATTTTAAAATGAATACATGTTTTGTGTGCAATTTGACATTACTTGGCGTTCAGGTATTCTTTTTAAAGTGTGTTTGATTTTTATTTATTTTTTTTTAAGATATATTTTTGGCTTTTTTGCCTTTATTAGATAGGACAGTGTTGAGACAGGAAGCAAAGTGGGAGAGAGAGAGAGAGAGAGGGGGTAGGGTAGGGAAATGTCCTCGAGTCGGGATTGGAACTCGCGATGCCCTGATGTGCTATTGCACCATATGTCGGCGCGCTAACCACTAGACTATTGCGCCGACGAGTGTGTTTGATTTTTAAACAGAACGTGACCATGCATAATGTACAAATGCATCTTCTATTGCTATTACCCTTCTGCTGTCAAGCATATAAAATATTTACCTTGCAAAGAGGGTTTTTGACCATGATGTTACCCTGGTTTCCTTTAAGCCAGGAAGTGTGCTACAATTCTCCTGCTTCATGCCTCATGTCACAAACAAAAGACCTCTAATGAGACAGAGCATTTATAAGCACAGAAATCAATGCATGATTTAAACATAATAGTTATCACCGTATACTTCCTCAGTTGATTTGATAATATTAAGAACTGTAAACAAAGTTTTACAATTATAACAAGTTTTTTTTTTTAAATGTGCAAATGGTTAGTTAATTCTGAAACATCTATCACATCTAATATTAAAGTTTTGTTTTGACATATTATATGTGTGTACTGTGCATATATAAGTGCATTTATTTAAGAAAACGTTTATTTATATATAAATATATATATATAATAGAAATTTTATATAAATTTAATATCTATGTATCAAAATTGTTTTGTATAGTTTTGTCTATGTTTGTGTGCGTATCAGATACACATAATACAGTACATCCGGAAAGTATTCATAGCGTCTTTTTTTTCCACATTTTCATGTTACAGCCTTATTCCAAAATGGATTAAATGTATTTATTTCCTCTAAATTCTACACACATTACCCCATAATGACAATGTAAAAAAAAAAAGATTTTTTTTTTTTTAATTTGCATATTTATTCAAAGTAAAAAACCTGAAAAATCACATGTACATAAGTATTCACACCTTTGTTTAATACTTTGGTGATGCCCCTTTGCTAGCAATTAGAGCCTTAAGTGTTTTTGAATATGATGGCACAAGCTTGGTACACCTGTCTTTGGGAATTTTTGCCCATTCCTCTTTGCAGTACCTCTCAAGCTCTATTAGGTTGGATGGAAAGCAACAGTGCACAGCCATTTTCAGATCTCTCCAGCGATGTTCAATAGGATTTAGGTCTGGGCTCTGGCTGGGCCACTCAAGGACATTCACCGAGTTGTTATGAAGCCACTCCATTGATATTTTGGCGGTGTGCTTTGGGTCATTGTCCTGTTGAAAGAAAAACCGTCTCCCAAGTCTAAGGTCAAAAGCACTCTGCAGCAGGTTTTCATTCTGGATGTCTCTGTACATTGCTGCATTCATCTTTCACTCTATCCTGACTAGTCTTCCAGTTCCTGCTTCTGAAAAACATCCCCACAGCATGATGCTGCCACCACCATGCCTCGCTGTAGGGAAGGTATTAGCCTAATGTTGAGCGGTGCCCAGTTTTCTTAAAACGTAATGCCCGGTATTCACTCCAAAGTGTTTAATTTTAGTCTCCTTAGACCAGAGAATTCTGCTTCTTATGGTCTAAGAGTCCTTCAGATGCCTTTTGGCTTCCGTCTGGCCACTCTACCAAACAGGCCTGATTTGTGGATTGCTGCACAGATGGTTGTCCTTCTGTAAGGATCTCCTCTCTCCATAGAAGAAAGCTAGAGCTCAGAGAGATTGATCACCTCCCTGACTAAAGCCCTTCTCCCCCAATCACTCAGCTCAGATGGTCGGCCAGCTCTAGGAAAAATCCTGATGGTTTCAAACATCTTCCACTTACGGATGATGGAGGCCACTGCGCTCATTGGAACTTTCATGGCAGCAGAATTTTTTCTGTAACCTTCCCCGTCTCGATGGTTTACAGACAATTCCTTTGTCTTCATGCTTGGTTTGTGCTTTGACATGCACTATTAACCCTGGGTTCTGGTATAGAGAGGTGTATACCTTTTCAAATCATGTCCAATCAACTGAATTTACCACAGGTGAACTCCAATTAAGCAACTGAAGCAACTCAAGAATGATAAGTGGAAAAAGTAAAGCACTATGAATACTTTCCAGATGCACTGTATATGTATTGTAATTAAAATCTACAGACACATTGTAAAAATAATAATAATAATAAAAATGCTACGAGAATCCAAAATAAACCACTTTAAAAATCCAAACATTTCTAAATTTACATGTGAATGAGTGAAGAAATGGTTTATTTATTTATTTATTTAATTTTGCCAGTAATGTCTCACCTAAAACTTGTTGCTGAGATGAATTGGGGGTGTTATGATTTATCACTTCCATGCAAATCTATTTCCCTCTTACAGTTTTGCTAGTTCTTTTGTCTTTGACACACCAGTACCTCACCATCTCTGTCTCCTGCTTTCTCTGTCTGTCTCTGTGTAAGTGTGTGTGTGATTGATGGTAATGTCCACCAGTGGATAAAAGCCATTTTTCACTGCTACTCTAATGTGTTCATTACAAGCGGCCTGGCTTCACTTGAAGTGCACTTTTCTCCAAGCGTGCAGCCAGCCGACCTGTGTTTCTCTGTTTTCAATGTGATTAGCGTAATGCTCTTGCTCTCCCCTGGGCCTTCCTGTTTTTGCACACAAGACCTCTTTTCATTAGCTGCTCACTTTGAACACCGGCACGCAGACAAGGGAAGACACGGGGGAGGATGTGTCTTGGTGACCCTCTCTCTTCACATGCTTCTGTTGTGCTGATGGTTGTTGGACTGTAAACAATATGACAGTTGGGAAGGGGAGGGTAGGGCTGCAGGGCATCGGAAAAATCTCGTATTTTGTTTTTCTGTAATTTGCGATATGAATACACTTTCACTAGATGCCATAAATAGCTCTATTTGGAAATAATTCATTCATTTAAATTGATTGCAATGATTCTGTAGGGGAGTGAATCACACATAAAGTCTTATAATCAACACACAAGCATTCATTCATTAATTTTTCTTCGGCTTAGTCCTTTATTTATTAGGAGTCGCCACTGCGTAATGAACCGCCAATTATTCCAGCATATGTTTTATTCAGCGGATGCACTTCCAGCTGCAACCCAGTACTGGGAAACACCCATGCACACTCATTCACGTGCATACACTACAGCCATTTTAGTTCATTAAATTCATCTATAGACCTTTTTCAAAGAGCACAAAATTACCTGTTATGCTTTGTGTGTGTGTGGATACTTCGAACTTTCAGTCGGCGGCTTGTATAAAGTATAGAGTCACATTTGGACAACTTTGAAATGATTGTTTTAATCTATTTTATTTAATCTAAGTTCACACTTCGATAATGCTCGACTATAATAGCAGGTTTGGCATGATGTCCCGGGAGAGAGCCTTGAGCTCTGAGATAGATAAGCCCAAGGTTTCCGCCTAGTCAATGAGCATTAGGAGGCATACGAGATCAGGTATTTTTCGAGAGCCGCTAGTTTGTTTGTTTTTTACCTATACTTTGGTTAATAAGGTGGTCTATAAGAATCTATTCAGTATGTATGCGTTGTGCTTGTCACATGTTTTTAGACTGTGGGGGTAAACCGAAGTACCCTGGGAAAACCCCCGCAAACACGGGGAGAACATGCAAACTCTGCGCAGGGAGTGCCGACTGGCTCAATTAGAAAAATCTGAGCCGCCGTGTCGCCCGATCCTAGAATTGAGGAGGAGGGATAGAGGGGTTTTTTTTTTCAAAACAAAAACAAGGAATGATTT